AAATTAAACAAGCTAATCTACATTTTGCTGTGATCATGTCTTTACCGGGGAGTGTAGCAAATGACAACACCAGTGCTGGCAGCATGACATCAGGTGACGATTTGCAGTTCATATCTGAACTGTTGTGTGTTTGTGTGTGTGTTTTGCAGAGGTGAAGGACTACGAGCCTGCGTACGGCTCTAAAGTGCGAGAGCACCCCTGTGTGGAGAGCATGAAGGACAACGTGCTGAGAGACAGAGGCAGACCTGAGATCCCCGACAGCTGGCTCAGGCATCAGGTGAGACAAACACACTGAGCTGCTACACTGGAATCACATTCACATACTGACACACAGACACTCACTCTCGCATCGGTATGCACTGATAATGATAAAATACAAAAACTCTTTTGGTTTGTAGAAAAAAGTAACGGCTCTGAGGTCGGTCTCCCCCCTTCTCCTTTTACTGACTGACATGTTCTCATGACGTTCTTTAAACCAACCTCCAGCATGCTCCTCTCTCTAGACGCTCCGATGCTACCTGCCCTGTCTTGTGTCTGGGAGGTCTGGTCCAACACTCTTGTGTCTTTGAAGTCAGATGTAATGTGTTTCACAAGGTTACAGCAGATATTTTGGAGACAAAGTAACACTCCTAGCTGCAGGAATTTGGTAAAAACATTGTAACATCTCAAATCAGTGCATGAAACCAGACACAGCAATAATTATCAAATCTGGTAGAGCAACACAAATATACAAAACATAATGGTATGTAGCATGTGATCAAATAAAGGAACAGCAAAATGCATACTTCCTTCCTGTGACATGTCCGTGGTGTTCCTATGAGACACACCTGACCAGGATGATACAACGCTCCGTTGCACACAGATATGCACTAATTGAAGGATATAGTATTAAAGGTGGGCTAAAATAATGTTGATTTTCTTGTTTGAAAATGACTTAAGATTGGTTAAAAAGCATCTAATAAGTCAATTGAGGGAGTGCCATTCAGTATATGCTCTTCTCCTCACTGTACAGGGTGTGGCAGTGGTCTGTGCCACCATCATGGAGTGCTGGGATCATGACCCCGAGGCCCGACTCACCGCCCACTGCGTCGCTGAACGCATCACAGAGTTGGAGGACGAGATGGACAAACTGTCCAACCGCAGCTCCTCAGAGGAGAAGATCCCCGACGAGCAGAAGATCCCGACGGACGTGGAGATCCCAGAGATGGTGAAAATCACAGAAATACAGGACATCATAGCCGTGGACTGCTCTGTCAGCGACGAGAAGTGAGAGGAAGCTCTGCGTACATGGATTTATCACCAAGGGCACTTATTTTACTTCTATGGGATTGAAGAGAGAAATCTCATCCGTGATTTCCAGGAGCTGAGCTCCTGAATCGCAGGGTTTTTAAGTTTTGGTTACAGTGTCATTTATTATTCTCACCCAGCAAAGAGGGTCTCTGGGTTTTGCTTGTGGACTTAATTGCTTCTATATTGTAACTACTTGCCTTAATCAGCTGAAAAGCTAAAGAGCCAAAAAGCCAAAGTTAACTGGAAGCTTCCAAAGATGTGCAGAGCATGGAGACAGTATTTTTTTTTAACAGTCAGACAGGCTTCTCTCTTGTTACGAGAAACAAAACAGGGCAATAACTGTTAAACCAAAGACATTGGATGTGCACTTTACCAAATGAGCATTACAGATATGAGTCTGTTTCTATTGTCATGTATTCTGACACGTTGGAGTCGAAGGGAGTTTTCTCCGAGAAGTGTCCTTATGTGTTTGACTTGAGCCAGCAGTGATGTGCCTAATGAAGCTGTGGGCTCTTTACCCAGCAACAGGAATCCAAAGGAAAATGTGTGTGTGTGTGTGTGTGTGTGTGTGTGTGTGTGTGTGTGTGTGTTTGTATACGTGTGACAGTGTGTGTAAAAGGTGTGTTCAGACTAAAAGCGTTGTAGGTTTTTCATGGGGCACGATTACATACAGAGGAACTCACAAAAAAAACAGACAAATCCTGTTGAGTTGACACGAGGTCATGCTGCAATGTGACTAGAAAAAATTATCAGCCATGAGATTGTGCTGACAGAGACCCCCCCCGTCCTGTTTCACCAGCAGGGACAGAGTTGGCAGTAGATGAGTGTAAGCCAATAAACAAAACAAAAAAACAATATTCTGCAATCAATTTAAATTTTGCCTGTTTGCCAAAGAAAAAAAAAATGGTTTGGAAGGTCTGTTGGTTCTCTTTCAGTCGTTCTCTCAGAGACATCACTTTGTAAGCGTCACTGAGACTGTCTCTCCTTCCCGTCGTGATGTCAGGGCTAACGGTTGGACAGGAAGGAGATCCCTAAAAAAAAAAAACATGTATGAAACATGTTTGAGCATAAACAGGCTCCTGCCCATGTGAACAGAAAGCTGAGAACAACAAATCCAGGGGGAAGTTATTACTCCACAATATATTAAGATCGAGCATATTAGATTTCTGCATCTTCAGAATGTCCCATAATTGTTCCTTTAAACCTCATCAACTCTATACAGTTTGGGTTGTTGCAGTGTGACTTTACTGCACATAATGAAAGTTCAACCCATGGGAAACAGTAGATGGGCACTCCACAGCTGAACACGTGCAGTTAATGTTTATTTGAAAAATCCTGGTAATAAGCAGAGACTGACTTACCGAAAAGGACGTCAAATTGGTCAACCTTAAGTGGCTCATCCAGACACAGTTCTTGTGTAACAAAGCCAGTCATGACCATCTTGTAAGGGCCAAAGTGATTGGGTCGTGTTTCTCGATTCTGCAGTCAAACTCTCACAGGTGACATAAAGCAAACAACCTCTTCTCTTTTGGTCTGAACACAGTGAAGCGTGTGTTTTTTTATTACCCAGCTATACTTAAAAACCTTGTTTGCCAGAAAAGGCGAGCACAATGTAAATAAGACAATAACTGTAAATAAGAGAGAAATCAGCCAAAAAAGGGAAAGACTTCTTCCTCCTTGGTTTCTTTGAATTCAGAGATGAAAAGTCCTCATGGAGATGTATTATAAAGCCATTTTCTATGTTTTCTGTCTATATCAACAGGAGTGTGCCAAAGATATTATATCCTGCCTTCAATACGGTTTGTGTCATATGTAAAATAGTGTAAATCTTTTATGAATTAAAGATATTTCTGTATACTGAGGTTCTGTTTTCTGCTCATTTTGTGAGTCATCTTACCTATATGAGTAAAATGTGACATCACATCTTCAACTTCAGCTTTATTATTATCCCAAAGGAAATTAGATCTGCAGCAGGCATCAAGACACAAATGGATACACATAAAACAGCATCAGCGATATTAACACTGTCACTGCAAACACTACCCTGGGATCATAGCTTGTGTAGGGCTTGCAGGCGTCTGCTGCCTGGGGCATAATTGGTTGCGGCTGCCAACTAAGATAAGGGAGACAAACCTTACCTGCTGCAGCCTTGCTTCACCAGCGCGATACGTCGTTCTCTGGATCAGCTCGGTTCCAACGCGTTCTTCTCCGAGTCGGATGACAGTTCAGTATTATGGCATAAACACACGACAGACTTTGTTGCAAAGAAAACGGGGAAGTCATAAACAGTCTCTCGTCCAATCTTCCATGAAGCATCTCACAGCCCCAAACATTTGTTCTCCTTTGAGAAACCTGCCCGCTTCAGCTACTCAAAAGAGTGGCACCCCAGCAATTGGCTGTACGACCAGGCAGGGAGGCCCACCCGCTCTCTAGTTTGACATCCATGCAATACAACATATCAAGGACAGTGTTGTTGTAATAACACAGACACACGTACATTTCACAGGTGAAGTGGAAAAACAAAGGACCAGTTTGGACACAGCACAGAAAAGAGTGTTAAGTCGAATAACGTGCTGTTCACTAAAGGTAAAATAAATAGTTAAGAAAAGAGAAGAATAAGTAATCAATAAATAATCAAGGTGCACATTCTTAAAGGGGACATATTGTAAAAAATACACTTTTAGTGTTTTTGAACATATATTTGGGTAACCTGTGTGTCTACCAACCCACAACATGTGAAATAAACCCATCCAGTACTTTGTTTGTGGTGTGCATAAGTCTTACGACACAGAGAAAAGTGCTCTGTTTCAAATTTGCTCAACTTGTGACATCACAAGTTGGATTCTGGTAAAAAAAAAAAAAACCCTCCCCTCCCCTGATTTCTCCAAGATGTTGCACACCTTCAACGAGGTCATCTTCCTTGAACACAATCGCAACGGGACCTTTTTACAAACAGCATCATTCAACATAATGACTCACATCATCTTTTGCATTTCATAAAAATCTCTGAACTTAACGGTTAATTTAAAGACTGGGGACAAGTACTTTCTCTTTGCCCCCTGCATGCTATTCTTGAAAATGTGCTTGGATACTGTGTACAAGCACAAGAATGAGCCAAATACTCCCCTGTCGACTCTGTCATTAATCAGCATATCAGCAATAAGCATCGATGAAAATATGCCCGAATTAGCTCAGAAGCTACAATTCATCCATAGTCCTAAGTACAAACCCTCACAGGACAGTCTACCGGACAGCCCATAAAGGAACGCACAGAAAGTTTTAATTACAAAATAGACACATTTGTTACATAATAAGAAATAACAGACACACATACACCTAACCAAGTAAATATGCAAGAACCCCCTTTGAACGGGGCCCATGAGTTCAGACCCATATATTATATATTAGTATTGTTTGTTTGTTTTATTTGGATCTCCATTAGCTTCAGCATAGCGAGAAGCTATTCTTCCTGGGGTCTGCAGTTTATATTGTGACAATACATTTTACATTTTACAATTTTCATATTATATATTATTCTTTTCACACTACACAAACATTCCACAGCATTTCTTCAATAACTAAAAATAATAGACAATTTACATAAATGAACAAAAAAACCCATGGAAACAGACAAACACAAAGGCTCCGTCTGATTTACAGCGTCTAAGACATAACATGGTTACACACAAAAAGGCCCAGTAGTCCTATCAGCACTGACTAAAGTTTCTCCGTAGATAATGTTCTTAAAGACTTCTTTTTAAACTGTATAAAGTGCTTTGGTGTTTAACATTACTTGAGAGTGAATTCCATTCCAGCATTGTTCTGTATGTTACTGAACGTTGAGACGCTGATGTTCTTAATTTAGGAAGAGTAAAACAACCTCCCACAGCATGCCTTGCTGGATAATGGTGTGTGTCTGTACTGAAAGATAATCTTCTGTACAAGTTAAAAGGAGTTTTTGTTGTTATCATGTTCCGTAAAAAAAACATGAGTGAATATAATAATCTGTGTTTAACTTCCAACCAAGAGAGGCGTTCATACATCTTACTGACATTTGATCTGAAAGTAGATGACTGGTTCAATATTTGAGTTTTCTTTCAAAGGATCACAATCCCTGATATCCACTGATAACTTCTTCAAGGACTATAACAGACACCCCTTTTTGACTGAAGTCAGTTCTACGCTGGGTTTCTCCACAAGGTCAATGAAGATCTGACCATAGTAACTTTGTCTGAAGTGTATCTGATGTTCATCCCTTTGGATAAACGCGTCTAATTGTAGAATTGTTGCTGGATCATTGACCAACTTTGAGCTGACAGTGAGGACAGGTCAGGAAATCTCATCCCAATGTTAAGGTGCTTTTCACATGCAAGACAACATTGGCTGCAAAAAGAATTGGAGAATGCCCAAAACTTTCTGATGTGAATTGACAGCAAGGTAACTTTCTACCACCTGTTTGGCTCCGCCTTCAAAACACATCATACATTTACAAACACAAAAAAAACGGTCTATGGAATGCTCCTTTAGTTCAACAAACCCCCAAAACATACAGCCACTAACCTGCACAGTGTATGTGTGTGTGTGTGTGTGTGTGTGTGTGTGTGTGTGTGTGTGTGTGTGTGTGTGTGTGTGTGTGTGTGTGTGTGGTGCAGACATACCTCTGCGGACCAGAGTTTATACCAGAGAAATATAATGACAGGCCTGCTGAGCCCATGAACCATGTTACAGGGAACAGAGGGTACCACATCACATGTTCTCTCTCTCTCTCACACACACACACACACACACACACACACACACACACACACACACACACACACACACACACACACACACACACACACACACGCACACAGAGTGCTGGCTCTCTTTTGTTCTTTCCATCTTACAGCTCAGTTCTCCTCCTCAGGTCTTTGTTGGTGTATTCCTGGCACCACTGACTCTCCTCAGGGGCAAACATCCCGTGTCCAGAATTAACTCCTGGCCTGTTTCCCTTTCTTTTATAGGCCACAGTGTTTTGTATATAATCCAGAGGCCTCTCCCGGCCTACTCTCTCTCCGGTAAAAAACCACCAGCCTGGATCAGACTTCCTCTCACTGTCACTGTTTCTGCAGATTGTTTCCAGGTGTAGTGCACCTGCCCGTCACAGATGGTGGATATGGGATTACATCCTCATTTTTCCACCACAAGTGTTTAGCCCATGAAGCAAAAAGGGAAACAAAACAATGACATCACATCCAAGATAGAGTTTTGTGTTTCCCTTCAGGTTGTAATCACAGGAAAAATGACCACACTGTTTTATTTGACTGCAGTCTGTGTGAAAACAAATGTTCTCTGTCCTTAAATAATTTTCCATTGAGCTAACAAAACCTCATGACTGTTATAATGAAAGACAGAACATGTCTGCCCTCTTGTGGACAAAACCCAACTAACAATCTGCCTTACTGAAAGGTCGCTTTTGTTCCTCTTTACAGCACACATTTGTTACTATGGAAAAGTGCTCCTTAATGTTATACTGTCCAAAAGCAGAGTGCTGTGATGGGGTTGACATCAATGGTGCCACTTTTTTTTTTATTACAGCTCTTGTCAAAGTGTGTCCTACATTTCCAACCAGTCTGGAGCTATCTGAAACATATTCTACCTGCCTCTATATTTCATCATGTCACAGTATCCCTCAGTGGTCACAGTGATGAAAGACCACCTGTGTGATGCTGGGATGCTGCTGAATCTAAAACTGGGGGATCTGGCAGCACTCAGGGCCAGGCTCACTCTGAGCCAGATATACCAGAAGAGAGTCAGAGCCACACACACGCACACACACACAGAGTCCAAAGTCTGTCATTCTCCAGTCTACTGAATAGTCAGGTCACCTGACCAAGAGTGTGTCGGGACAGCCTCATTACATACACAACACACAATGCAGGAAACCCCCTCTTCCTGCATGCAGAGGATCAGATCTCCCTGCTGCCTCTCTTTTGATACGTTAACAGTTACACAGATCTCATTAGATCCATTACTCAAACCAAACTTTTCTTCGACACATGATTGATGTTTTCAGTTTGCACCTACTTTTGATTAACACAAAAAGATGGTGCCTTACTATTTAGCTATGTTTGAGGTCTCTGGTTGTGCTAAAACAGAATAGAGTCACATATTATTTATCTCTCTTTGTGTAAAGTATCTTTTTGGACAACTCAAGAAGTTTATCACTGAATTTTACAAATCATTCTGGCATCACCATAGACATTCTCTGTATGTACCTCAAAATGACCACTAGAGGTCACTATCCACAAACATAATCCCTCTTTCAGTTTAAAACTTTCATCTTTATTGTCCCTGAGGGGAAATTTGGTTTGCAGCCAGGTGAAAACAATATAAAACAAACATTTAGAAACTCAGACACACAGACTCAGAAAATAGAAACAACATACAAATGCATCAGCTAACAACAGGAAACTTAGAATGTATGAAAACGTCCATAAAACCATCATCAATCATTTTTGGGAATCATTTTTGAACCTGTTGGACTCAGAAGATCAAGACATGACAGAAGAAGAGCAAATGCAGAAGTGGTGTGAGAAGCTCTCTGAGTCTGACGCTTCTAAAAGTTTTCCCTTTATATCAAAGCTACCAGTTCAACATATTAACAATAACAAAACAGCGTAGAAGAACATGCTGGTGAAAAAGAAAGCATGAGAAAGCTGTTTCATTAGGTGTAAAATAGGTTGTACCTGTTTCATACATACAGTCAATAGTCTATAAACGCCACCACCACCACCACCACCGCCACCCACTAGCTCCTGCTGCCTTCTAACAGCATATCACCCCAACTAAACGCAGGAATTTTACTAGCGGGCTGTCA